CTCAAATGAAACTCGGCATGACAAGTGATAGTTAACTTTAAAAACAAAATATGCGTAGTCAGTGCTTGGCGTGCCTGGCACGCCACGCGCGCTTTTCCCTTAAAACAACGTTTAACGTTGTAACACGGCGAACAGTCGAGAAACGGAGTGCGCGGTTCCACATTTTTCCAAGTTGATTATCGTGCATTCGAGAGTATTCATGACACTACGGCAGTGAGATTGTCTTGCTGAGGTCATCGTGAACAACAGAATTATACTGAAGGGGTGACTAGCACATTCCATTTTTACGAAATTTAATTGAGAAATATATAATCGCGGAAAGATTGTATTCTTTTTAAATCTAGTCTAACCTAACTTAACTTTCGTGCCGAGTACTTTCTTATCCTCAATTATTCCGAATCGGAAGAAACCTTCAATTGCTGTTGCTAATTAGCAAAATTCTATTCTGTTTCAGGTCTGGCAAAGCTTGCGATGACACGGAGAAGACAAATGAGCGAGCACAACAATGTCAGCATTCGCCGTTCGAGCTCTTTAAATTATTCACGGTTAAAACTCCTGGCCCCTCGCATTGTCTATCTCTTTTTAATGACGTCAGAAGCGAGAAAATGCACGCTAAAAATTCTTGCGAAATACGTTAAAATAAAAAGATATATTCATAAAGTAACACTTGCAATCGATTAAACAAATTTGTAAGATATTCCGTGCACTCCCTCTTTGTTCTAACAATCAATAATTTATCGTAAATTACATACAATTCATCTTCTTAACTTATTTCTTCGCTTATTTCTATTCAGATTAATTTACAATATATTTTTTTAGGATATATATTTTCATTTCAATATATTTCGCAAGAATTTTTAACATGCATTTTCTCGCTTCTGACATCATTAAAGAGAGATAGACAATGCCAGGGGCCAGGAGCCTTAATCCAGGATAGGAATTTGCAGTATTCGCTCCTCGATCATCGTACCGGGATTATCATTATATAAGAGAAATCGAATGGGTATAACTATCACATTCTATTTTTATTATATTTGAAAAGAAAATACTATTATAACTTCCTATTATTATTCTTCATTTGTACGAAGCGAACAATCGCTGCATTATTGTTACTTTTTTTTTTATTTAAGGAATTATTTTTTATTCGAAATATATATCTTTCATACTTTTAGATATTTTAACAATTTATGGTCATTAGATTTTAATAATTGATAGTCGAATAATGAACAAAAGTTCAAGAAATGCTATCGCTTGAAACACGTACTATATATAAATATTATTTTACACTGTGCGAAATATCAATATTATAATCTTCGTATCTAAAACTTTATTATCTTCAATTATTCCGAATCGAAAAAACTTCTAACTGCTGTTATTAATTAGTAAAATTCTATTTCAGATCTAGAAAAGTTTACGGCGACTCCGCAGTCAATCATCATTCGTCGTTTTCGAGCTCTTCAAATTATTCGCAGTTAATCCAGGACAAGAATTTACGGTATTCGTGCCTCGACCACCGTGCTAGGATTATCTTGCAGTGTCAGAGAATCGTGAAATATAATAGGTATAACTATCACACACTATTTTTATTAGAATTAGAATGGAAATACTATTCTTCGTATTTTTTATTCGTACAGATCGAATATCGCTACATCATCTTTACTTATCTAAAGAATTATTTCTTACTAGGAATAAACGCCTTTAATACTCTTGAATATTTTAATAATCCACAGTCATTAGATCTTAATAACCGACAGCCGTGTAATGTATAAAAATGAGTGAGACGCCCGCGTACTGATACATATAAATATATTACGTAATATTAATGCGTAATATTAATGTTATAATATAGATTCCGGTAAACGGTTGAATAAGATAACAATAGTTTTAAACGGGACTTGGTACGCCGACCAACGGCTTATCTTCTAAATAATAACAAACGTAGCCCGCGCGAAGCACATCTCGCGCTGCCGACACTCCCCGCGCGTCTCGCACGAAGCACGTCTCGCGCTGCCGGCGTCCCCCGCGCGTCCTGCGCGCGCCTCTCGCGATGTCACGCCACACCGACGTCTGACGTCACAGCGACAGTCTAGAAGCGGAGCGCGGCGTTCCCTGATTTTTTCAAGTTAATTATCGCGCATTTGAGAGTAATTGCGAGCGCGATTGCTGTGCTGAGGTTATCGTGGGCAATAGGATTATACTGAAATGTAAAAGGTGATTGGCATATTTCATTTTTATGGGATTTAATTGAGGAACACATAATCACGGAGCTTCGTAGTTTCGAGATCTAACCTAACCTAACCTTACGTCGAATATCTCATCCTTAGTTATTCAGAATCGAGAAACATCATTAATTGCTGTTATTAATCAGCGAAATTATATTCTATTTAAGATCTTGGCGACACCGAGGAGTCAGATGAGCGAGCACGAGAGTCAGTATTATTTGTCTCTTTCGGAGTTAATCCAGGACAGGAATTTGTAGTAATTGCGCTTCGACCATCGTGCTAGGATCATTGTGTACACTTGAAGCATCGTAAAATTGGAAAAGTAACTATCACATTTTATTTTCATTACATTTAATCAAGAAATGCAATCATAATTTCTGTATTCTTAATTCTTTATTCTTAATTCACTAATAAATACCTTATTATTGTTACTATATATATATAAAAAAAATATATATATAATATGTATATATATATATATATATATAAAAGTTAGAAAAATTATTTTTTATTCAACATACGCAATTTTATTTAATTCTTTTGGCGGGCTAATAATCATTAAATCTTAATAACCGACAGCTGTGCAATACACAAAAGAATGGTAAGCATCATTCGTATTGAATAATTAAATATTATATTACATAATGCAAAATGTCAATATTACAACATAGATTCCGGTAAAGAATAAAAAAATGTAACGGTCTCAAGTGGGACTCGGCGCGCCTCAAGCGAGAGTAAACTTCCAAAACAATAACATACGTAAGTTATATATTTATACGGCGCGCTCTTCTCGTCATAACAATGACAGACGTCACAGCGGATAGTCGAGAAACGCGTCGTTATTGATTTTTCCAAATCAACTATCGCATATTCGAGAATATAATGGCAACTCTTCGCGAGCGTGTTTGTTGTGCTGAGGTTATCGTGAATAATAAGATTATTATATAAAATAGAAAGGGTAACTAGCATATTTTGTTTTTAGTAAATTTGATTGAGAAGTACAAGTTGAACGTCGTATTCTAGAAATTTAACAATTTAATCTGAATATCTTATCATCGATTTTTCCAAAGTTGTAACATCTATATTACTAATCAAGAAAATTATATTTTTTGTTTCAGTTGTGTCAGGGTTTGTGGTCACACGGCAACTACAATGATGGATATGCGGATGCAGATGCGGTACCGGAGGATCCGGTTTGGGCGAAATGCGGTCGGCTCAAAGGTGAGATTATTAATTTCTTGTGTTTTTTTCGTTTAATTCTGCGATCAGAAGCTAAGATATAATTTCTTACTAATAATTATCCAATAAATTTTGTTGAATAACGATTGTATTAATTTAACCAATTATGTGCTTACTTATTTATTAACTCAAATCCAGAAAATTATCTAATTTACTATATTTTTGTTACAGGTAAGAAAGTAAAACATGACTGATCTTTGAGACATTCTTGGTACAACTTGTAGTATGTAAGTGAGTGAGAATAATGTGTGGAATAATTGAAAATGATAAACTTCAGGTGATAGAGTTTATTGAATTTTAAAATCAATGCGATTTACTTTGCTATAGAATATTGCATGTTGGTTTCTGCATATATATGTATGTGTTGTATCATACAAAATATATTATTCAAATCAATTAAGGAATCAACTTAAAATGTCTACATTATTCAGTCGATATTTCAAGAGTGTATTGAACGCTCTTTATAAATTTATAAATATTCGATGCAATCTTTAGCAAGAATACTTATTTAAATGTAAAATTTTATTTATTTATTTTGATATTCAATTGAAATGAAATGAAAACTAACAAAATTATTTATTCAATGTGATCCTATAATTGTTTTAAATAATATATATTTATTGAGCACTACAATGTGCTCCCGATTGCGCATCAGAATTGCGCCAATGCGCCCAATTGCGCATCAGAAATGCGCTAAGTTGCGCATCAAAAGTGCGCCAAATTGCGCATAAGAATTGCGCCACTGCGCATGAATTACGCGATTATTTTACTCGCGTTTACTTAGATGTCGCGATTGTCATTTGTTTTTTAGATTTTTCATACACGCCTTTGCATTATGAGTATATATATATATATATATACACGCGTTTAGTAAAATGAATATAAATCTGATTTATTTAAATTTATCGGAATAAATGACGGTAAGCGATCCTTAGCGAAGTAATCGAACAGAAATACGTATCATTCGTGGAAAGATAATCGAGAATATAAAATAGAAATATTTCGCTTGTTTACGCGTTACGGTTACGGTGAGATTTACGTTGTTCTTAATTATTTCGTTCGATCTCTTAAATAATTTGGCGACCGGTTTGCAATTCTTTTATACGTCGTGGGTGACAATACTCAAATAAAAATTTAGTCCGTAAATCTCATGAGCGTTGATTTATTCCTGAAATGACCGAATCTACCGCGACTGGATTTATGAAGCGTCTTCGCAGATGTCAATTTCATTCTGTTAAACGAAAATTCATAGATATCGTGCCTAAACAAAACTTTACAGCAATGCCGCGGAAATATTCAGCGGCGGCATAAAACGCCGTTAAAATAAAAATATATTAATTGCGTCGCGAGTGTCAAAGTGCAATCAACGTGGGACGTGGATGCAGCAGCAGCCAATTTTTTCGATTAGCTTCGCCAGACGTAGATGGATCTGACTGGACGATGGTGGACTTTGTTGGACGTCGGGGGATATCAACCTGCAATGGTGAGTGTTGATTTCAACACTCATGAAGTGTCATTCAAAGTAGTTCATGCATGCTCAAACCGCATTGATTTCATTTTTCCATTAACACGTTGAGTGCCGTGATGATCATTAGTGAACGGTGATATTATTACTTCTCATTAATTACATAAATAATTAATACATTAATTTATACAAATATAATTAATTGCATATGAAAAATTAAGGCTAGTAGAGAACTAATGATCGAGGTAAAAGGTATACATATTTCGAATTACATTTTCTCATAGTTTTCATCTTTAGTAATTTAGTTGTCAGTTAAATTTTTGTATAATCGATAGAAATCGGCGTGGTAGTCAACGTGTTAATGAGATAAATGACATGTTCTTTTAAGTTTTATGCGCTGGACGCTAGTCAAAATACTTATAATGATGACAATGTGTTTTTTACATTTGAACATTTTCTCTGTGTTGAAATATTTATAAAATTTGCTTATCTTCGTGAATAATACTGACATATATTGCTGTTTTACGTCTTATATTTTAAATATAAGACTTTCAAAATATTGGGGTGGGAAAACACGAGATTTCTTAGTTTTATTACACGTACGAGGGTGGTCTGAAAAGTTTCCGACCTCAACGTGAAGATAGCAGCACTTGTAAATAAAAGCTAGTGAATTTCGTTGTTCATCTGTTGACAGTTACTCACCGAAGTTTCAGCCA